ACACACCACACACACACGATAGTTATGACTCTGATCAGTTTGCCCCTCTAGACATTCTGACTACACACATAATTGTGCCCACACAAAACAGCACATGGACTGGAAAGACCAGGACCATATCTTTTACTTAATCTGATTAAAAGCGAGAGGAAAACTGTGGCCGTAGTCTTCCACGCAGCATGATGCCACCACTTGTGAGTGAAATCACCCTCTGGAGGTGCCTCTCCGTATTGTCTGCAGGTGGAGAAAGGGCCTGCAAGCAGGCTCCTAGGTTAGGGACCTCAGTGAAATCACTAAGTGAGATGGGACAGATAAAGGTCTTAGAAGATTTTGCAAATCTGTGTTGTTTTCATTAAAAGAAGAATTAAAACCAAAACCTCAAATTACTCGGATCTAAACATTTGTGATAAACACTAGGCTCAGTTTGAAAAGTTTATGAACAATTCAGTTTTCCAGAGATTCATTTTGAGAGATCCTTGTACAGTATTGATATGAAACCAAACAAAAATCAAAAACTTTTGTGTGTTAAGACAGAGGTTTGTGTCCAGGTGAGCTGAGTTCGCTGTCTTAAGAACAAAACTACAAAGGCTGCTCTACACAACATGGAATAAAATAACTAAATTATTATTTATTTGTGCCATTTGTTATTTTGGTCTAAATATGTGACTTTTTTATTGTTTGGAGTAAGAGTTTTATATTCTGTGCATGAACACTTTACTTTCAGATTGATTACTTCAAGAGAAGTGCATACAAGACCTTACGTAAACATCAGAATAAAGCCACTGTGCACCAACATTAGCTATTTCAGTTCACCTGTAAGGAAAATTAATTCAACAGATGATGTTAAAAAAAAAAAAAAAAGAGAGGTCTGTGAGCTATAATTCTCAGAACTTGTAAAGGGCTTGAAGTGTACTCTTTAGGAAGGATGAGACAAGACACTTCTAATACATCCCAAAGCTAAAGCATGGGGTAGCAATCTACACAGGCTTGAAACACAGTGAATGTTTGCACAGACCTCAACACACACAAGCTGAAACTGCTAAATTTCAAACTTGCCAGCATATGTTTCACAAGCTACCAAGTGCAACACGCCTGCAACTTTCTGTGGTTTCTCATCACAGCAGTCGAGTTGCATGGTCTTTGGTGGTGTTTGGGAATCCCAGAAGCCATCTGGAACCTGCTGCTTGGGATAACCCTCCATGTCTCAGTATTTGAGATCTAATCTGCAAAGCTATCTCCAGTTAAATGTTTTGGATCTGGGCTCACAAAGATTTCTTTAACCAAGCTTGAAATAAATTTTTGTAATTAAATCCTCAGGAATGAGTCTTATTCCCACCCTGATGTTTCTTCCCTTTGTTCTTTCAGAATTTGAAAACAAACCTTTACCCTTCAGAGACTTGTTTTCCATAACCGTGCTTATGCAGACATCCTTCATATCATAAACAGCTGTCAGATCTTGGTCTCTGCTTCCAGGAGTGCTTTATATGGGTTTTATTTCTCAGTAGAGAACTGTGTCCAATTCTGGGCTCCCCAGTTCAAGAAAGACAAGGAACTACTGAACAGAGTCTAGCAGAGGGCAACAAAGATGATGAGGGGACTGGAGCATCTCTTTTATGAGGAAAGACTGGGGCAACTGGGTCTGTTCAGCCTGGAGAAGAGAAGACTGAGAGGGGATCTCATCAATGCTTATATATACCTTAAGGATGGATGTCAAGAGGATGGGGCCAGACTCTTTTCAGTGGTGCCCAGCAACAGGTTAAGTGGCAATGGGTACAAACTAAAACTCAAGAAGTTTCATCTTATATGAGGAAGAACTTCTGTACTTTGAGGGTAGCAGACCACTGGAGCAGGCTGCCCAGAGAGGTTGTGGAGTCTCCTTCTCTGGAGATACTCAAAACCTGCCTGGACATGATCCTGTGCCACTTGCTGTAGGTGGCCCTGCTTTGGCAGAGGGGTTGGACTACATGATCTACAGAGGTCCCTTCCAACTCTGACCATTCTGTCATTCTGTAGGCTTCATCAGTGAGAAAGTTCTGGAACTATAACTGTCAAGTGTTGTAACAGCTACAGTTTAGAAGCAGCATAAATGGGCCTAATTCAAACAAGATATCCATTAGAACTCGCATTTATGTTTAGATAATATAAGATAGAGAGGCTGTATCACCATATGGGGGCTTTGATGAGAATAATGACCCTTGCCCACTACTGTGCAATCTTATCTCCTCTTTTTGCACCTCCATTAGCCCCTCTCATTGAAAACCCACCATGGCTTGCAGCCCCCAGTCCACAGCCTAACTTTTCAGCTCAAGTTGCAAGGACTGATGCTGGCTCCCTTGCATGCTCAAGTCGCGTCCTTGGTACCAGCTAGGAATAGTAACAATCAAACGATGATATTGTTTTCTCTCTTAAGTGCCAAGAGACTCAACAGCATGTCTGTGTCCTGTGAATTCTGGTATGTGCTGCCTGCAATGTCTGTTTCTATATATCCCTGCCAACTGCATGACTTCATTCAACTGTGTGATATTCCAGACAACACAACACTGAAAATAACACTGGCACTTACCTGAGCTGCCAGTGCCTTCTGATGCACTTCTGGATGTTTTTGGCTGGCTCTGTTTGCTACTTGTTCGTACAGTGACCGAAGGAGGAACAGTGCTGCTGCTGTCTCCACGAATCGTCGAGAGATCCTGCATGCTAAAGCTCCTTAGTCTCTCAGACAGGGCGCCCTGTCCCTAGTTAAACAAGCAAGCAAATAACACACATAAAAGTTAGATTCAACAGTGTACTTTGAGCCTTTCTTCTCCCTTGCTCATTGAAATCCATCAGGACAGAGGAAGAGAAAAAATTGCCTGGTTCAGTAACCTACAGAGGACAAAAATGAGTTGTTAAAAGCATCATTTCCCTCTCTTTGCTATTCCTTTTGGAGTGCTTCTACACACAAAGTCATTCAAACTTTTGATGGCAAGTATCTCTGATTCTATGATGCCATAATTTGAGCTCAGAGCAGCCTTGGCCACGTCTGAAGGAGCAGGATGTTGTTACATCTTTCCAGTAGGTACTTTTCTTCACTAGCATCTGAGTCAAATAGGTGCTTGGCTTCAGAAACACAATTAAATGGTCTGCATCAAAATAACTCCCTTTTGATCATCTAAGATGATATTCACCCAGCTGTTCTCAGTCACACACAGAATTCCTAGAGCACAGAAATTTTAAAGTAATAAAAAGTTATTGTCAAATGCAAAGAAATATTCCAGTGCTTTTTTCATGTAGCTTAAGGAAGAAATAAATTAACACAATATTTTTTTTTCTTTTTAGGCTAGCTCTCAATCAGGCAACAAACATGTTCTTTGGTGAAAGGAATGTAGCTGTTCTTTGTAAAGGATGGGTTGGTTAAAAGACACCTTTCATTAAAACTAGGTCCTATCAAAAAGTTGACTATAAGTATACCTCTCTCTGAATTCTGTAACCCTCATACCACAACACTGCCATAAAGTCAGAATGCCAGAAAATACAATCAATACAGAACCTATCTATCCTTCTCTGTTGGCTACATTAAGTGACATTCAGAATATAAATAGCATAACTGATAAAAAGTACATTTAGATTTTAACAGTTTGTTGAGAGGGGAGGGTCTGAAAGATACTTCATAGTATATAGTCTTGAAAAAAAAATACTGAAATAAATACACAGAGGTTGATTCCAAAATTATTTCTGCCAATGTAAATTAGGAAAAATTCAATGGATGCTTCGACTGAGGTGAAATCAGAATGATGGTAAACACCAGTAAATAATGCCCTGTCTAACCAAACAGATAAGGCACTTCGTAGCAATTCACACACCACTTTCATTTAGACTTGTATTTGTCAAAGCAGTACATAAGTGGAAGCATAGCCTGAAGACTGCCAGAGGGCTCTAGAATACATGACTGCTCTCTTCTGGGCTGCAGATTTGAGTATCCTGCCCACAAAAGCAGGGTGCTGGTGAGGGGCCAGTGGAGATTATCCTCTGGTGCCGGCCTGGCACGGAGAAGGGACACATCCTGACCATCTACAACCAAAGGCAAGACTGAACACGTTCCTTGCCACAGCAGTAAGGCAACACTACCTGTCCTCTAGTGCGCTGGCATTGATGCATTGGGAAGGCAATGCATTAATTTATCTGCAAATGCTGATTTACCAACATGACTTCAGAAATTTCACATACAGAGTAATGGAAAATCAGTGCCTCTACCCCATACAAATTCCTTAGCACCTTACTTTTAGGGACTGTAAGCATACAAGGCATCAAGTGCTTATAACTACAGTGACTGTGACAGTCTGCACTTTCTACTTTCAAGAAAACTGCTAGATCACTAATCTCCCAACTTTTCAGCCTCAAGTTTTTCATACAAGAAAAATGGGTTCAAACTTGCTTCTCAACTCCACGGCATATCAGTTTAACCACGGGCAGGCTATACATCCTGGACTACAGCACTTTTCTCCATTGGCAAGAAGCAAACAACACACGATGATATGCTGTCCAAAAGCATTGCCAGTAGAAATATGCAACATCTAAGAAAAATAAAATTGAACTGTCCTTTGTAGGGCAGAGTCACCTGGTGGAGAAGTGTCCACACACCCATCATGCTCTTCTTGCAGACTTACTTTGCTCTGGGACTTTTTTGCTTGTATACCAAGACATTTGATTTTGTTGATTTTATATGCTTGGCAGTGGAATCCCATGAGCTTATGTTTTGTTAAAATCTCACCTCTGCCATCTCATTCTCCAACCTGCCACAAGAGTTGATGTCTGAATTTTGGCTACTCCTGCCAGTGGCTGAGCCACTCTTGGGACACGTTCTCACTCCGAGAGGTATCTTAAGTTATTCCTCTTAGGATAAGCTACAACTGTAACCGGGCTGGTACACTGAAATTTCCTTGCATGGTTGGTTAGCTGGGTGTGATCTCAGCCACCCAGAGCTCAGTGCAGCGCAGGTCTGGATGGGGTTTTGTAGCTTGCACTGAATTCCTGCGCAGCCACCCTCTTCTCGGTAGTGGATTTAAAGCTAAGACAAGACATCCTATGCTGCAGTCTGACTACAAGACACAGATCCCTAGTGAGAGCAAGCTGAGAGCAATCAGACCACTAAATAATATTTTGCAGTTGCAGAATGACTGGACCAGCAAAGCCAGAGGGTTAGCAATTGATGAGCTGCTGTAATCTGAGTGCTGTATTCCTCCTGCACAACCAGCTCAAGTGTCCGCAGTGCTCAAGCTTTTAACCTCCTCAGAGCTGCTCTGCTCAGCCAGCTAACCCAAATACCATTTCATACCAGTGAGCGATTTCTGTGCGTGGACATAAGTCAGATTAGAGACAAGATTCATGCGTCAGACCAACCTGGCAGGGAAGATGATGCTAATGCACGGTTTTGCATCGAAAATGAAGAAGATATGTTAATATTCTTGCATTGCAACTTGTGATATAGTGGCATATAGTGGTCAAAGGTCCCAGAGAGAGCTTTGAAATAAGGGCCTGATATGCGCCTGTCATCTGTGGGTCTGTTACATTAACATATAATACACAGCCACAGACTTAAACACACAGTCATAACATCTGTGCTAAATAACTTTGACTTTCCTCAAGAAAAAAAATTTAAAAATTGTCTTTGCTTGATTTTTGCTTTTATTTAACCTGAGCTTATAACAGCAAAGATAAAGGTTGCTCATCACACAGATAATAGTGATATATTACTGTTCCCACCATTCCATGAAACAGATCGTCCAAATCTTAGAAATGGCAGGAATAGCAAAGGCTTAGGCGGAGTGAGGACACTGAACACGTGTGAAAGCCTGCTGACTTCCCTTCCATTTCTTTTCTTTCAAATTTTTGCATCTTCGGTCTCTGTAGGGATAGGCTTGATTTAATTGCTCCCAGGGCACAACGGAACACTTGCAATTCTTTTGCAGTTGCCACATTTCTACCTGACCTCTAATAGAAACATGACAGAAATTAATGATGATTACAACAGAATCAGGATAGTTTCAGAGTAAAATGGAAAATGTTGTTACCAACCTTAATTTCTCTGTCAGACAAGCAGCTGCTGTATATGAAATCACAAACATTTGAAAAGCCAGTACTGTGAGGGTTTGCAGCGCTGTAGTTATATGTTTTAGCAATAAAGACTTTATCCAGCTGTAACACTTATTATTCCACAATAAGACTTATCTTATTAAAAAAAAAGAAAAAACAAGTTAATAGCTTTATTTCACAACAGAACAGATTCAGCACAGCACACATTTTGGGCCGTGTTTGGTTAAAACAACCACGTGGAAGATGAAGAGCAGCTGTTTTGGGGATTTTTGTTTACCATCTTGGCTGTGATCATGCAGATGCTCTTCTAACTGCTACAGACATAGGAGATGTCCCAGGAATTTCAGTACACTGTGTGTCTGCACAGAGAGAAGATCCAGGTCTTGAAGCTATGTCTAGGCTGCAGGCCAGAGGCATGTTTGCAGCATGTCCACACAGATCTGGGCTAGTTTTATCCTAGAGAGTGTGACAGCAGTAATATCATGACAGTAGCTGTTGTAACAACATCTCACTGTGTCAACAGCAAAACAGCATGATGCTATTATACAACATTTTGAAAATGGGGACTGGGAAGGCTGCAGGACTATGGATGACACCACCTCTCTCTCTCCCCTCATTGAACACCAACTGCCCTGTCAGGATGAATCTGCTGACAGTGTGGGACCTGCATTATGAGGACTTCAGTGCCTGATGGAGGACACAAGCATGAAGTGGTGCTGGGAGACTGAGCCTTACTTTCCCTGGGCACTAGACTACCTGCCTAGATTTCCACTTCATACAGCTTCTCCTAGGACACAGACTGTCCCTGTAGGCATGACACTACTGACCCAGTAGACAGTGATTTTGCTAGATGGTGAGGTCTTGGTGGCAACAAGTGGGAGCAGGTGTTTCTCTGTTCCCTGCTCACCATAGTGTACCTGCTCCCAAATTCATCTGATCTTCTTGCCCATAGGAAAGTTCACCTCATAGGTGAAGGTACAGCACAAGCTGAAAGCGGACCTCTTCAGGCTTCCTTTGCCTCTTCTTCTCCCAGGATCTACCAACCTCACCAGGTCCGTACATGGGACAGTTCTGTCTTTACAGGGCCAGAGAAGGGCCAGGCTGGGGCAGGACTCGGTGCTACTGAATAGGACAAAAGACAAATACTAAAAAGGACATGGTAATGTCACCCTCCAGTAACTGCTATCACTTGGTATCAACCTTATTTAGATTCATGACACTACCAACGGTATTAGGGCATCGCCCATCAAGACATGGACATTTAAGCTGCAGAAGCTCATCTGTGATTCTAACGGAAGTTAAATCTCCCACTCGTGTGGCACAGTAATTAATCTAAAACTAATTCAGGTACATCTACCTGCTTTGGTCAAAATCACAACCGTAGTATAGGCATACCTTACTTACCCACATGTAGCGCATTCTCTCCTTATTTTTGCTTTAAAGAGTGGGACAAAACAGGATCAAAATACTGAGCTTTCAAAGCCAGCTCACCTGCATACTACCTTCCTCTAAACATTGCAGACATCATGGTCTTCAGAAACAAACATTAAGCTCTGGGGCCCCAGAGCACAAACACTGTTGCAACCAGTATTTGCTTGGAAGGACTAGAAATCTTGATCCTTTCCAAAACCTGAAGTTAGTATTGTGACAGGCACTGTAAAAGGCACTTCATCAGAAATAGCTAAATTGTCTTAATTACTTTACCTCTCTATAATTAATCTCTGCATTCACATTTGAAGTAAAACTTTTTAGAGGGAGATGGATTTAGGAGTCTGGGAAAACTGGGTTTACATCCAGTGGAATTATTCATTAAAAATATTCCACGTACCTACGTAGCTTTACTTAGGCTCTAGGTAAATAAAATGAGGCACATAAATTTAAAATCTGCAATTTATATAACAGTCCTATTAAATATGATCTAAAACCAAACAAATAACAGTGTCTAGATTTTATCATAGCTTCAGTCTGATAATCTGAAAGAATTCTGTAGATGCTATTTAGACTTCAAAACGCCTCTAATGCCTACAAACTCCATTTTGCAGCTGTGGAAACTATAACACAGCATGATGAAGTGACACAAATCAGGAACCAAAAAATGTCAAGTCATAAAAGAGAAGCTTTTAATACAATCAGTGTTAATACAAGATGGCACTTTCTGGCCTTTTGCATCTTAGGATCAGTAGTTAATGGATAGGCAAGGGAACACTAAGTCACACTCACCACACTTCCAGCACAACAATAAACCTGTTAATGTTCTCCCGTCTTTGTGCTGTAACTTTGGTTAGCAATTCTCCTCCACTCTAGCAGACATGTCTGCATGCATGTTACAGCCTCCATCCTGCAGATATTCACTACAAGGCGTAGTGCATGTTCCTAGGATGCCAGTTATTGCTACGGTGTCAGCAGGACTTCCCCAACCACATCTATCACAAAATGCTTGCAGAGATGCATCTTCACCTCTGAGCCAAGACCTGGCCTCACTAGCTCCACTGTAACCCCAACCATCCTAATGGGATCACAGCAGTGGGAGAGAGGTTCCCTTTATCCATTAGCGAGAAAACAACAGCAAACACTGCAGCTTGGCCAGTGCAGTAGCAACAACCTGAGTTAGATTGGTTTTCCACATACAAAGCTCCCTGCCTGGCTGCTGGAGTCCCTCTTGATTGCCAGCAGAGGACTTGGAAGGCATTTTGCTGATGAGATCAAAGACAGGCTTTTAAAGCTCAGCACGCAGGATCTACCCACTGGAAGTGGAGCAGACAGCGTCTGGCCTCAGACCAATCTCAGTTGAAAACAATTCAAACTAGTCTAATGGGGAGACAGACGTTAGTTAGGGGTTAGTATAAGCACTCAGCAGATTACCTGCCCTTTTTTCTGGTCCAAATACAAGTGTAAATGAAGTAGCTGAGAGACCTAGCAAGGGAAAAAAGAGAGCCATTGTGGCAACACACATAAAAGCTTCGAGAAGAAGGTCTATTTGAAGCATAAGTAATCAAGGTGAGACATAAGCATGACACTGGGCATCATGTACAGGGACTCACATACACATAAAAAGAAGGGACACCCACCTGTGGACTACACCTTTGAACGTAGGTTCTCCCTTCCTCACCTTTCCCAGAGAGATGGAGAAATCACTCCATAACCCCAGCTGACAGGGTGTTACCTAGCAAGTGTATTTAAAGAGTAAAGCAAATTATAAACACAACGGGCTGCCACTCCACTCCTTGCAGTTGATGGATGTTTCCCAGTGGAGAAACCCCCAGTGTCTGGCCACCTCTGTAATCCAGACTTAAGATCATTAAGAACAGAGTGCATTTATGACTAATTTAGGCACAGGATTAGGTGAGGGGCACGTGGCAGTCATTTTAGTCCTGGCGACTGACAGGTCTTCTGAGAAGTGGGGTAATGCTGGGGAATTACTCACGGCAATGAGTGGGGGTTTACAGGAAGAAGTGTTATCATGTCTGGCTGCAGGCAGGCCATGCTAAGAGCAAAACCATCGGCTTTATGCTCTGAGCACAGGCCTGAATAAAGGAGGAAATTGCTTCTGCCATCATAGGAACACAAATATCCTAGAAGCAACATCCTTATGGCCAGGGCCTGCGTGCCGTGCCTAGCCTGGAACAGCTACCCAGTTTGGAGATGTCAGACAGTATTAAAGAGTCAAAGGGAAACCAGCTGACGTTAATGTTGATGGCGGCAACTTAATTTCATCCACCCTTTTTTGTTTGTGCAGTTCATTTCCTTTCCTGGGAACTGTTTGTTATTGTCTCTCCCAGCCTGGTCTCTCTGTATAAATTTATTGTTTGGTTCTGCTGTCCTGTGCATTCACTGGCTATTGTCTGTTTCTTGGAGACACCAACGAAAGAGCCAACAAAGCCAACAAAAGAGATAAACTGGAAACAGCTACGTGAATCGTAGCTCAAACAGCTCTGGGGTTTTATTGATTTGGGAAAAACAGAATCTCAAAGACTTAAGAATGAAAGATACATCGCACCATGACAGGAACAGTTCACAAAATACTGTGATCAGTGGCACGCTACCATATGTTTCAAGAAAGCCATTCAGTGTTCCTCTTTACTGGTGTAACATAGCTCAGCCATGAGATCTTTGATTTTGGATCCCAAATGGAGATGCTTTAAAGGAAGCTACTTTCAAAAGCAGCATGCTTAGCCCTTCTGAGATAACACTAATGGGTCCCCAAAGGTTTCTCAAACTGCATACTCTAAACCACTCCTGACTTCTGCAGTTCTTGGCCATGTTACAGACCAGGGCAGACAATGTGGTCATTACAGATACGGTACTAAGCAGATTGGTCAGAACTGTCCTTTGGTACATTTGGTACGCAAAGAAACATTCTCTCTCTGAGCAGTGGGATCTAATCATTACAAAGAGGCTTTATCCAGCATCTTAAAGAAAATGATGCTCCCCACCCCCTGCCTCCCTCTTTCCCGATTCAAGTAAAAGTGCAGTTCTCCACTGTCATGCCACAAAAGACAGCAACTCTCTCCTGCACAAGCTTTTGCTCCAAACTCCCACAGTAAAAAGGTTTCAATTCTCATGGAAAATTAGGGATCTTATATATTGGCTTTCAGGCAGTTGCACTGGCTATACCAGCCAGATACTAGAAATGAGTTAAAAGATGCTGTTTGACTAGAGAGGATAAAATCTAAACCATCACCACCATTTCTCTTCCAGTGCCCTTGTTTAAAAACCAGCAAATGCACTGGGAAACTTCCCAATAAATTTCTTGGGCTAAGGGACCCTAAAGAAGTGGAGCTGCGACCCACCAGGTGATGGCGAGCCCAACTGAACCAGGCAGGTGGTTGTGAGCTGAAGCAGTCTGGGGACTGCTGACTCTGCACTCCTGAGTGTTAGTTAAAGAGGTGGATGCGCATACTGAAACCCTCCTGCCTTCGTCTGCATGCCTGGTCCTTTTAACTGATAACCAGAGTGATTGCTAGCTCTGGCAGCACTGCAAGCTATATTTCCCCACGCATGAAAGACTCCTGGACTGTTTCTCAGACTTATTAGGCACAAACGGGCTTTTCATCGACACCAGTCATGCGTGCCTGCTCCCTCCACCTCATTTATCATCTCCTGCCAAGGCACTGCGCCCATTGCCAGCAGCATACTGTGCCCCACTCCCCTTCTTAAAGGCGAGCTGTACCAAGGGGCACGCAGTGGGCCACAGCAGCAGCTTCTGTGCAAATAGTCCCTGCCCTAAGCACAGGAGGGCAGAGGAAGGTACTCTATCAGAAACCTCTGGGTTACAATGATCTGTTGGCTGTGGGATGTTTTCTGCAGCTCTCCTTTGAAGAGCAGAGCTGAGGCTGCAGCTTGGGGATGGTTAAGTGGTTGGGAGCAGGATTTGTCTTGGAGGTGGGGAAAGACACTGACTTGTTTGGCAAAATTGGTTTGTTTGGGGTGAGGAATAAGGATACATGCAAACAGGATCTGGGAAAGCCAAGAGCTTGAAGGAGAGGGTTAGAGAGCTGGGGGAGAGTGTAAAAGTGGCAATGGATGGGTTGCAGAGACAGAGGAGGCAATGGCAAGGCTGGGCAGGGTCTTGGGAAGGCAAGCAGGGAGGAGAAGAGTTGGGGATTGGGGACAGGGCAAGGCAAGTGGGTGGTTGGAGGCTCAGGGTGACAGGCGGATGATAAGAAAGTGCTGGGAGCATGATAACAGCAAGGGAGTACATACGAGTATGCTGGAGGAGGCTGGTGCTGCCTCGAAATCATCGGTACCTTTCCTCCCCACAGCCACATATGTGTCCCAGCCACTTACATTAGAAACGTGACTGCTGCCAATGAAACGCCCACTTATGCCCAAGCTTCCATCTGATAGCTCCACTGCCTGGCCAAGGCCTTGCACCTGCCCCACTACTGCGGCCGTAACAGCCTTGCTGCTGCTCCCCTTCTGCTGTGACCCAAAAGCAGGCTCCTGTTCTGCTTCCCTTCTCCTACCCCAAGGCGAGCTGGAAAGAAGGTGGTGGTCAGTGCCCAAGGTTCTTTGGGAGCAGAAATGGCTGAACTAGTTGGACCTAATTGAAAACACACAAAGAGCAGCAGGATTTACTGCCCGGTCATCTAATCTTGCCACTTAGGACTGACCCATTTGAAGTCACAGCGTGTGACAGAATGACCAAGCAATGAGGACAGGATTACAGAGCCCCAAATGAGATTATGCTCCTTGGGGGGGACGCAAGCTGCTGGGGTGTCACCATTTAAGCCTAACTAGGACATGGGGAGAGAGAAAAGATCTGTGTTGAGCACGTAACAGGGGTAATAAGACCAGATATCCAATGCTGTGTCTGCTTAGACAGCAACAAAAATAGACTCTTCAGAGAGAGAGAAAACGCCCAAGCCAGCCAACTGGGCAGACTCAGGGTACTTGGGACACTGACAGCTCCTCAGCCTGTAAAATGAATTGGCACAGGTTTGTGCCAGTGTTAGCACAACTGTGGCTTGAAAACAAAACAGAGCAGGGGAAGGGAGCAGGAGGAAGGGGAAGGGAGACAAGCCTGCAGTTGGCTAACTAAAACTGGAGGATATTTAAGATAGAAAGGGGAAAGGTCCAAGGGATCACACATAAGGAAGGTGTGGCTGTGCAGAGTTTGCAGCATCTTAGCCTGTGATAAATATATAAGTAGCAGCCCGTTACACACAAATGGTAAATGGAGAGCCAGCCGCATTATACTGCATGAATAAAAAGATGACAGATAAAAAGAATGAAGAGATGGGCCTTGCCCAAAGATCTTATCACAAAAGACAAAAGATCATGATGGATCCTGCGGTAGCATAAGAAGATCAGTTACCACAGCTCAGAGAGAAAGGAGAGGACAGGGCTATGCACAGCAGGAGACAGGCCTCCAAGTACAGGAAGGAGCCATTAGATTTAAGCTAATTTACTGAAAATAGGTCTGTACAGAGTACACTTTCAGCCCAGCAGCTCATTGTGTATTTGCCACTAAAAGATGCTGATTTGCAAAGTCTGAGGGTCCCTTTCTTAATACAAAATCATCTTTTCCTCATCCATTAATCCAAGTTAAGCAGGAAATGAGACAGATCCTCACATTCACTTGCTAGTAAAAGTCACGTTTTCCATGGGAGCTGCAGGAGCTCAGTGCTTCTGAGTAGATGGTCATCTCTATAGGTTCCAATTTTAACAGGACCTGTTAAAGGTTGAAAACCAATGAACCCATTTAGGGCTCACTTTCCCATCGACACTCAATGCTTATCGCAGCTTACCTGGATACCCTTAAACCTTGGCATTGGGAAAGCCAGGATAAGCCTTAGAAATAGTATTCTCTTTCCTCCCTTCCTGGAAACTTCCCCCTAAGGACAGCACTGCAGTCTTGCCTGGCATCTGTCTGCTCTAAGTGTTTTCCAGATAATTAGTCATTTGAACTTCTCTCAGGCAAGATAATCTGGCTTTGTTATACCTCCTTTTCAAGTGAGCAAATAAGGGTGTTGACATATATTTAACAGCAGCTGAAAACCAGGGCAACAGAAGCTGTTACCACCCATACCTGCTTGTATCACTCCTCTCTTGGAAACGGCTCCCTTCACAGCAGCAGAGACAGCTAAATGGAGATACATCCACACCCGACCCATCACATTTCACATCCTGAATACCTGAGGAACCCCAGCTCAGCACTTCTGTACTGCAACACATCAGGCTGTAAATCACAGCCATTCAGCTCTCCCTGCCCAAAAGACAACAAATTCAGTGAGAAGGGTAAGGGACAGAAGCTGCTTTAACCATTCCTGAGTATTACACCATGAAGAGTCTAAATGTATTAAGGGTGTGGTTCCATGAGTAGCAGAGTTAATCTGCGTGCTTCCCACAGCCAAGAAGGGATGATCTTGCTTTCCTTTCCTCCGGCCATACTCCTCACAATGCAGTTCTGCCCCTTCCCTTGTGCTGGCTCAGGCACTCGAGACATATTTGTGGGCTCAAAAAACAGTATTCCCTTTCTTTCTCTTTCTGGATTAGTTTTCTGATAGATTAGAGAGAATCTGAGGAGGCCCAAAGAGCTGGTGCAGAGTAACACACTGGGAACAGGAGCATCACCCCATTTTGGACTAGGAGAGCTGTCAGATCAGCTCACCCTGTCTCTTGGATCTGCACCCTGAGAGCAACTTGCTGGAGGCCACACACTGAAGTGGTGAAGGAAGCCAGGAGTTCTATTTTTCCTCACATATTCAGAGTAATTTAATGTCAAGGCTGAAACAAAGACATGAACGGTCCTTGCTTTGTTGTAAAAATCAATCAATCAATCCAATAACAACCTCTCAATCTTATCAACAGATCATTTTCCCCTCCCCAAAGTAGTCTGCAGGAAAGACTCTTCTGGTCCATTTACAGGTTGCAATATCTTAACTATTTTCTCTCAAATTAGGCTGGCAGATGTGCCGTACAACAATACCACACAAGTCACAAAGTTGCTTTCTTCCACCACTGAATGGGGAGCTTCATTAACTCATGCAAAACAATGGATTCCTTGTACCCTGGAGACTCTTCTCCCTTCTACCCATCTTCCCATTACCACTGGAACCACATTTCAAGGCAGTGAGATTCTTAAAAACACCAAAAAATCAGAACAGTGGGAAGAAAAACTGTGGTGCTGACTGTTCATTCAGGTTGAAGAGCTGATGAAGACACTGCTGCAGGCCTGAGATGTACAGGTTGGCACTGGGGGTCTGGGCTACTGTTGAGGTTCTCATATTCAGGAGCTACTCAAACAGGAGCCAGAGTTCTTTCAGGATTCACACAGAAGTTTCTCACTCTGTCCTAAAAACTGCTCGAGCACAGAGAGTCTGCAGCACCTTACAGGAAGGGGCACAGAGCAAAGGTAGTGCTGCAAAACAGGCATTCCCAGAGCCTACTTACGTCCATGGTGTGACTTCTTCAGGCTAACACTGCAGCAGCAAAAGTGTTAAGTGTCATGGAGGTGTCACACAAATGTTGTTCCTTTGGCCATATGATACACAGCTTTGCTTAGCTCCACGTTTGTCTCAGGTTTCAGTCCAGGTTTGGATTAGCTAGCAGTCCCGGGGTTAGCAGTGCCTGCCCACTGAAGAGCAACAGTTCAGGGGAAGAATTGAGCCAGGCCTGACAGCCACAGTCTGCACAATGCTTGGCACGGAAAAGGGAGGCGATTTTTTGGTTCTTCTTTGGAACAGGACATAGCTTTTGTGTATCCTTGTGATTCTACATGTACGTGGCACACCCCAGGGCCTCCCCACTTCTATTATACCTTGCATTCAACATGCTTTATAGATTTCATGGTATTTGGCCTCCTAAGGATGTACTATGCATTTTTACAGAAGGTAAGGCCAAGACATACTAAAATGATGTGCCTGAGGTCATATGAAAAGCATTTAAAGGAAGAAAATAATTTCCTTCAACTCTCATTCACGTTTTTTTCTAATACCAGTACCCACCTTGCCCATATGTTTCTACTATCCTTTTGCAACAGGCATTGTATCTGACGGCATGAAAGCCATATCTGTTATACAAGTCTTGCCCCCAGAGCACAAGGGCATAGTCGCTGTGCATATCTACCCTAAGCCATGATAATCCATGGCCAGAGAGCAGGACCACAAAATGCAGTTATCAAGTCCTTGCAGCTTTTATGCAAGCAAAGAAACAGAGGTAACAGCTGTTTTCGGGTTCTGTCTCTAAGCTAGGAACAGAGTACAGGATACACCTCCTCAGATGAGACCACTCATCTAATATCTACTCATTCTCCAAAAGCAACTAATGCCACTTCCCATTCACTCTTACATAAACATGTCTCCAGAGAATTATACACCAGGCATGTAATGTGTAAGCCTTGCAGATGAACTTTTAGCCTTCATGAACTTCAGATCACATCTGCTTTCTGTTGGTACCCAAATTACAGGTCACTAGATCCCCCAGACTTCTTAACAATTCAGCACAACAATTGAAAAACAGGGGTGCAGATGGCCTTTCCCTTCACTGCAGAAGATGTTAACACACACAAAAAAATATTTCCCTGCCAGGGCATTAACTGTGTTCACCTAATGTCAGCATTTTTCATGGAAGCATGTTCCTATTTTGACAGTGAAAATGAAGAACACAGGCTGTGATGAACAGGATTGCTAACACTGTCACCTGGGTACTGATGGAAAACATAAAATTCAACAGAGGCCTGAAGCAGATCGTAGTCTTAATCCTGCATTTCCAACCTCCTATAGGTTCACTAGGCACCACACTTACTGTCTTCATCCTAAGAAGCACCTGTGTGGCTGGTGAATGGGAGATTGGGAGGCATGATCAAAATCAGTGGATCAAAATCAGAGAGAATCCCTACCCTGACCATCTCTCCCCCTCCACACTGTGGCTGCTGTTGGATACAGATGAGAGGCTAATGAGACAACATCCTGACCCACACCTTTACCTTTGAAGCTGCCATGACGGCTGCTGTGGCTGCGACGTTCAGCCCCCGCTTCCCAAAGTGCACAAGGGCATCGTAGCTCCGGTCTTTTGCCTGGACAAGGCAGTCATCGATCTCCTGTCACAGCAGACAACAAAACAAAAAAACAAAAAACAAAAAAAGCAAAAGAAGGACAAGTTCAGAGTACTCCCAGCCTCAAACTCTTGGTAGGGCCATGTCATCTTTTACGGAGGTAGATATCCTCCATTGCCTCCACCTTGGCTGGAGAGAAGTTCACAGCCAATGTTTGCAAAGAGGAAAGGTTTGCAGGGCAGCAATAACTCCCATTGCAGGCTTTGGGAACTCTTTATTCTGTGAATAGAAGATTGGGACCCAAATTTGGGATGCACTTGCACAGTGCAACCACCACCAATAGGTCCTGGAAGCAAAATAGGTACATCCACCTGAGCAGAATGGACCAGGAGCCATTTGCAATCTATAGACTCTAAAGACAAATTGGATTGCCCCATAGTTAGAAAGAATCATATTATGGCACTGGGCAGCTGAAGCTGTACTGCCCTGCATCCAGGACTGGAGGTCTCAGAAGTATCTGAGAAACCTCTGCACATCACTGCAGTGACCAGCTTCAACATGCCCATGGCACTGGTAGGTCCAGAGCTTCTGGACTTTGATGCTGCTCAATATACAGTGGAATGGTTATGAAAGCTCCTGCCCTCACCCTCCCTCCCTCAAGACACAGGGGTCTGGTCGATAATGGATGACAATGGATTGACTTCCAGTACTCAGCTACTGGATAAGCTGGGTTAGTAGGGACTGGAGGCTGCGAGAAGCTGCTGGCTGTTTAGTGATTCCCTCCCTATTCCTAGTAGATAAGAGGTGGCAACCCAAAATGCATGAGCACTACTTGTGAGAAGCCTAAGCAGAAGTTCCCAGGAAGCAGAGAGATGGGGGATTGATGCCCACTGTCCTTCTTGGACAGGACTGAGATACAGCTGTTCATGCACTGCCTGCAACTAAACAGAGATCTTTCATTTCCATAGTTGCCAATGTAGGAAACAGTTATTCACTTCTTAGTAGTTTGCATGTTGATATGTGACTGATAGCTATTCTTGGCCCATGCATTCACGTGAACCAAATGGATCTGCCTGACAATGTCCCATTCACAGCCACAGGAATCTCCTAGGCAGGCAAAGGATCCAAGCTGTAATGTACTCCTCCCTGAAATTAGCATCATTAATTTGAGCAAGACATTTCTCAGTCCAGGACCTCAACATGCTACATGTCTTACTTCAGCATGCTATACATCTCCCAGCCAGGCAAGTGTTTGCTAAGCCCATTTTAGGTAGGCTGGGCTATTTGTCTCATTGCTGCACAATGTTTTAGGCAGAGCTAAAAAGCTCCTAACAAAGTTAAGGAGCCTTGGCTGCCAGACCCTGTTTCTCTATTTGTTCTATCCAGCCACAACATAGCACTCCAGCTATATTCAGCCAGTTTGTGCAAAGCAGCTCAGGAGGTATTTTTATCCCCCTCCCTCCCAACTTCTCAAGCGCACAAAGATGAGTTAATATGTGTGAGTGCACTGAACAGATGCCAGTATTTAAAACCACAACAACCACAAAGAACAAAAACACCAATCAAAAGGAGATGATCAAATGGTAGAGGAAGAGAATCAGCAACTCTCAGGCCTTCAATGAAAATGAGTGATATGAAGATTGGAGTAAACACACTGTAGATTTGCCCCACCCAGAGAGGACCCGGGCACCTGTGATTACCTTTTCTTTTGAAGACAGCGTTGGATGAACAAATTTCCTGTACAGGAGGCTGGAGCCTTTTGTGTACGGAGACAGCAGCCAAGCTACAAAAGCTATTTTGAGTTCATAGTAGAATGGAAACCTAGAAGAAAAGGAGCTGTTAATGTCCACTCCCAATTTAACCACTGCCCTTAATTAGAGATGCTCAGCACAGGAAGGGACTGGCCAGTCTCGCTTAGGGCAGCTTTTGCTTGCCAAAGTATCCAAAGACCAAAACACATTCACTCATCTTTGTACACGTCTCAACTAGGCATGTGGATAAATCTTTACTTGGGTATCAGGGCCGTTACTGAATGGTCTGGAAGAGACTCTGCTGTGTGATAACAGAAGCTTTCTACATGCAAAGAGCACAGATGCTGCCTTCATCGCATCCCCAGTCATTATGAGGGAGCAAAGAGCAAACCAGCAAATCAATACTTCATTGATATATTTCATAGAATCATAGAATATGATATCATTTATGCACCTGTCATCTCTCTACCTTTCTGCTTTTAAGATAAGACTTATCTGACTGAAGCTGAAATACAAGAACCTTGGTTGTCCAAGCAACATAAAGGTGCAGATCCACACTGTGGCTTTCAGGTAGCACTGCAAAATATGGAGGACACCAACTAACAACAGGACATGCTTCAGCTGTAACATGAAGCCAGGGATTTCTTGAGATTAGATTATCCAGACTCTTTTCTGGAGTGCAAAGCCAGAGCTCAAGGCTGGCCAGCTAGCAGCATCCTCATGCAGACAGGCACGTTGCTGCCAGCAACGTGACAAATCGATGCTACCTTTTGTAGGCAGGGGCACGGAAGAGCAGCACAGAGACCCTGTGATGGCTGTGCACCAGCCCAGCTGCCCCAGACAGACTCCTGCTGTGCTAGCACAGCACTGTCACGGAGCCAGCTGGGCCATACAACATCCAGGTCTGACCCGATGGGCCTCTGCAATGCTCTACTCTGAGCATGGATTTGCCAGGTTGGTCTTCCACTTCACTGAGGATCTCTACAGCATATTTGATTTCACAGGCTGGACAAGCCCTCTGTCATTCCTCCCACGAGACCCATAATAGATCCTCCAAAAAAACCAAGCTCCAGATGAACACAGTGGAGGTAGATCTGCATGCAAATTAGATAGACACACAATAACATCTTTTATCTCCTTTCCAGCAGATCTGATACGTTGCCAAGTATCCCCGATTCCCTTTGTCTGGAGGACTCACCAGAGGCATGCAGTGCTACGCAGGAACAGGCTTTAGGTGAGGGCCATGCACTACAGTTAAATTTTCATCCTGAAGTCTACTGATCTCACTGGTTTCCACTAGAAAGGCCTTACTAAAAAGGGCAACCAAGCAACAAACATTTCCAAACTTAAGCATCCAAATTTAAGGAACTGAATCTGATAATTGGGCATTTGTGTGCTCTTGTCCTGACAAAGGTCACCAGCAATCCTTTCACCGGCTCCAGAGAGCCCACATCAGTATGGACTGTCACTGTCCTCCATCAAACTGTAAATCCAGTCTAACCAGAAACGGGCCTGGCAAAACATCCCAGGAACAACCACCCATGCAGCAACCTACAAAGTTCTGTGCTGCAGGGCTGTTTCTGCCTGATGCCTAGAGTCTGCCTATTTACTGTAGGACACGGCTAGGTAAAGTTTAGAACTATGCCTGTAACTAAAGCTACTGTTGTTTATGTGATGATCTCTGCAAGCATCCAACTCGGCAATCAGCTGCACGTCTCTGACAGACAGGGGACTGAGATTCCTGTAGTGATTTCTCACTAATGAGATATCACTGAGCAGTTCCATCTTCTTTCTTGCTTTTCCTATGACAGCACTGAGAAAAGAAGCATGGCTCCTCCAGACAAAACACCTCTATGCACCTGAAGCTGCTAACCCTGTGTTCAGGAGGTGTGCATCTTCATGCTCCTTTTTTCCCCTTGTAAACATTTCCATTTTCTTTCATGCCAAAGACCCTTTCACATCTGGTGCTCACCAGCAAAGAAAGATATCCGTGAATGTCTCTGCTGTCGTGAAGAGCGCGAATATGATCCAGTACATCATCCATTTGACCTGGTAAACAAAAACAGTAGCCGGTTCATTTTTCCCCAAGGGCCTCAAACTATCTCTTACAGGCACAAGCGCACACTCTCATAGAAAAAAAGGTTCTTTTCCCTCCACCTGTGTATTTAACAATTACTATGGACTTGAAGATGCCAGAGCTCCCCCCATGTCAGATTTCCATACAAGCCTTTGGGAAGGAAGAATATCGCCTTTAGGACCGGTCTCATGAAAAGGAGAGCAGCCTGACTCTGTCCTTACAGAGGAAGCTCCACTGGCCAGCGGAAGACCACAGCCCTATCATAGGGCATTAAAAATGTACTTAGCTCATCTTAATAGCAAAGGTTAATACTAGGGAGTTGGCCAAACTGCAATTAAGACAAAATGTAATTACTTACAGAATATTATGCAGGGGAAACTAGCCAGGAAGAGATAAAGAGGTAACTGCCTAACCCGTCATCCAAGGCTCAGGAGCACCATCAACTCACCGCAACTTACTGAATTAGGATGCATCACTTGAGTGGCAGTGCCTCCTCACATCCACACCTGAGCCCATTGCAGTAACAAGGGCATGTTCATTAGCTTAAATTCCTTACCTGGGGCTTAGGTGAGAGCATTTTACCTCACATTGGTAGTGAAAGCACGTGCTGTGCTGTCACTGTGTTCAACTATGGTAACTTCATTGTGGGGTGGACTACTTGGTGGGTGATTTATGGATGGTCTCCTTTGTGGTGATAGCGACAGACACAGAAAGAGTCTCTGGGGACCGTGACTTGGTCAGGGAAACTGTAGTATCTTGAGTAATTCAGGAATCTGGGGATTTTTGTTACTGAGCACTAAATGGCATTTAAAAGCACAGCTAAACTATTCTCATGTATGCAGTATTGGTTCTTGGGCTGGAAAGAAACAACCTATTTGTCACATGCCATCAGCACTTTCAGTGATTTTAATCAACTGATGTGGTGCCCCTCTCCCGTGGCACTGTCACCACAGAGATGATGTAGGGAATAATTTTCAAGTACTGGAGATGAAAGCAAAACCTTTTATTCCCCCTTAATACTTTTTCTCCATTGTAAAACTTAAGCAGCTTCTGCCAGGCTTTTTACATAACTGCGACTCCCTCAAAGCCTCACTGCCAGCACGGTTCTCTCAGTTAGACATTACTGCCAGCAAAACTTTTAAACACAAACCAAGACCTGGTGTGGATGGGCTTGGATCAGCCTAAAGCACCATTTATCAAAATGACAGTTACCAAGCAGAATAAAAATAAACGACAGTGATGTAAGTTTTGACTAATAAATGAAGGTTTGTACTGTGTCAATGTAAATTACTACTTTTTTTTTTTTTTTTTTTTTTAAATCAGACCCTAACAGATGTATTGCCACAACTGGTGTGTTAAACTGAAAAACAACTGTAAGTGCAGACGAGGTCTTAGATCAGCTGTTCTCACACTTGGGTCATGACCCCATGTGTCTGATGCGAGTTCCTTTTTTGCAGGAACTGGACCCTTTAACAAAATACTTTCCAGAAGGGATGATGGAAATGTCAAGTAACAGTGGCAGACACTGCTTGGGGATGCTAGTGCACGTACAAACCTTGAGAAACTTTCTTCCAGCTGTGCAAGGACTGCAGGGACATTTTCTCTTAAGTACCTGATGTGTTCTGTAACATTTATGATTCGCAAAATATCCCAAACCATTATCTGAAGGAAAGGAGTGATAGAAAGGAAAAATCTCAGCAGCCACAGCGAGTCCCAGTTTGAGCTTACACTAAAGACTTAATGGGATAGCCATCTATGCTGTTACCCAGAGGAGAAAATGGGCTCGTTATCCCTGGGATCTTGACAGGATTGAAGAGTCAAGATCTGGAGGCTGAGCTGGGTTCATCAAAGTTAACAGAGCTCAGGTTGTGAAGGGCACTACAAACCCTACAGGACTCCTACAGCATCTGAGTGGTTTTGATTTTCCCACATTTCACTTTACCCAATGGCCCCATATGCCTTTAGAAGCTGGGGCCAGGGAAGATTTTTCAGCAAAAGGATAAGTCAGCACACCCAGTTACCAGACCCGCCTGTAAATAGGTCGCTCCACAAGGAAGGATGTTTCTATCTGAGGATTCAGTCATATGTGCTTCGAGTTGCCTCCTCTGATCCTTGTTTTGAATGAGCAGCTAAAGCTTCAAGGCTTTTTGAAAAGGCTTTGATTTATGCTGTTCTTCAGAAACAAAGGAAAACACGCAAAGCTCTGGATGCCAAACACCTTTTAAGTCGGCCGTATATAGCTCACACCACCGGAGCAAGAGCGTACATTTGTCAAAGAGCACATCAAGTCAGCAGAGGAGCCAGAAGCAGAAACCCAAGTGTCCTTATTTGAGACTTATGCCTAGCAATCAGCCAGTCCACCTTCAGGCCAGTCTCCCCCTTGCACTGGTTTACGAGCTTTCCCAGAATATAAGCAACACCTTTACAATGTGGTGAGGAGCAATCTTAGAAAACAAACCCCGCAGCACAGTCACAAACCTCATTACTCACATATTCTTTGATGTCCTTCGATTTCACGGCTTTGTAAGAATAATATGCAGGGTAGAGAGTGCCAAATATAAGCCTGGAAAAAAACAAACAAACAACAAATGGATTAAATTGGTTTCCTATCACAGAGAAAGATTTTTTTTTCCTACCTGTTAAATATGTTTCTCGCACTAGAAAAAAGTGTCAGGATTTAATTTAAGCTTGAGTGCACTAAGTACGGTACAGAAGTGATTTTGCATCACTGAATTCAGAGAAACTATTGCCAGTGATGTGAAGGAAGAGCAGGGATTCAGGCTGACTTTCCTTTTGCAATGGTTTCCATAGCTGTACCTTGTGAGTTACACACAAAACAAAACACACAAATCAAACCAAACAAAACCAAACACGCCATCACACTTTTAAAAGGAAATTAAAAATCTGATTTCAAAACAACCTACTGTGACACCAGGAATACAGGAGTATTGCTTTCAGATGCAGGACAAAATGAGAATCATTTGTCTAAAATCCCTTCCACCTCTATTCAATACTCTGAAAAGCTGGCAGATGATAAAGCAGGCAGGTGATAAAGCAGGATCCAAATTCTACTGGCACAAGAGTTTGAATGCTGGGGCTCTATCCTACATTAAACCTGCTAAAGTGAAGAGCCTTGCACTGTTTAGTAAAGTTGATTTGGCCTCATCAATGGAGGAGGAATTTGCCCACCAAGATATGCCAACAGGATCAGGCCTAAAAATCCCAGCTCTACTGTTCTGTCAGAGAGTTTCCTTTGATTTTCAAGTCTGAAAAGGATGCTGTCAGCTTCAAGATTTCATGTAAGAAAGAAATAAGGATCCATAAGTTAAAAATAGCACTACTGAGAAAAAAACGTTGAGAATTTTTTATACTAACTCCTCTCTGCATCACTGCCTAGCTGCTTATTCACTTCGATTATTCTGGACATAAGCATAGGCTTGTCAAAACCACTTTACCCTGCCCAGTTTTCAGTCAGTTTTATTCAATGCAGTAGGATGATGCTGCAAAGTCTAAATTTAATAGATTGCAGGGAAGTGTTTATTGGCTTGCAACTACCTGTTTTTCCATTGAAGCTTTTGTTTTAAATTCGTACAGCTGTTTCCACTGCTCTTGGGAATGGAAGTAATCAATGTTTCAATCCCTAATTGTGGAGTCACATGAACCCGCAATCGTCTTTCCCATCCTGCCAGCAGCGATTGTGTGCCATGGGACTCATAATTACAGTTGAGTCCATTACGTGCATAAGACATTAAAAATTAACACTCTGGGATATGCTGTACCGTCGTACTTCCCATAGCTCAAGAAGGTATTTGCGAAAGAACAGGGTGAGCCAGCACACATCTTGATTTCCAAAGCAGTGACCGAAGACAATTTGCTAGCTATTCATCATGCTTACTGTAGCATAGCTTAGCAAAACCTGAAGCACAATGCAGACTTCAGAAAAGCAGTTACCAAGCGAGGAGATTCAGTATTTTAGAGAGGCTTCACAGTGCGTTCAAAAAGCTTTGCTGGAAACAGTCATGTCTGAACCTATTTCACCCACAGGGGCTGTGCTATATGCAAGGATTAGATACAAATGCTCAGAACAATTCTGAGAAACCAAATGCATTTTTGTCCCTTGCAGTATCTTAACAAACAGCAACACTGGCTAAGGCAAGGAAGAACATACAGACAATAGCTTGATCCTGTTCTCACTGAAGCTAATAACAAATATTCCCTCTGAGTTCAATGGTAGCAGGACCTAATCCAAAGTAGGTAGAGCTCACAAAAGGAAGAAAGCTCCACAATATTCAGAAACTAATAGCTGAGCACATTAATAATATTTTTGGCTCTATTTATAAAAGTACTGCATTTCTGTCCTTCCTTCTGGGCCCGGGTCAGCTGCCATCTCACGCTTTTATTTCCTGCAAGTAATCACTGAATGATTGATATTCATTTCCTCAGTTTGTGCTGGTAACAGAAAGTAACTAGTTCCCGAAGAAGCAAACAGTTCACAGGATCACTAGAAAAGAATTAGTTGCAGACAACAAACACTTGAAAAAAATTCCTGTGAGGGAAGGAAACTGTGCAATAATTTTGCATATGCAGAGCAAGGGACAGTTAATAAGGTGATGTGCTCTCCCTAAATTGGAGATTGAGAGTTTCACTGATTTGCCTTGTATGTGTTGCGTGCATATATGGACATTTATTACTGCCATGGTTTACCAGACTGAAAACTGTTTCAAGGAATGTTGGTTCCCTGTCTTGTCACTGCTGTGGCTTATTATGTGGCTTGGAGTCACTTAACCTCTGAGTACACCCTACAAATGGAAGACAAAGGATGTTCAGGCATTACTGTAAAGCATATTCAGGGTTTTGGAGACAAAATTTGCACATAGGCATATTCCAAAAAGTCTCTTGAAATTACTGTCTTCACTGAGGTTTGGATCAAGCTTGAGTACAATTGATTTAATTCAAACATACACGTCAATCCTCTATCTCTTCCCTCAGTTCCTCTCCCCTGCTGAAAAGAATACTTCTCTCTTCCCCCTCATCCAAGCTTCTTGTGTAATTAAAGTTATCATTGATTCCTGCCTTCCTGCATCCTCATGCTCACACTGCTGCCAAATCACTCCTTCTGCACACTGTACTCAAACCCAAGGCTGATTCTTTGTCCCTCTGTGCAAGCCACTAAGTCATTCCTTGTCTAAGTCTCCTTTCCAGCCTCCTTTGTGTGGTCTCTACCTCAACTGGATGCACCAGTGTTTAAACTTCTCTCTCCTGCCCTTGTCCCTGTCCCTGCCATCCCTGCCTACCAAGCTGAAGTAACTTATCTTCGCTTTATGTGCCTAAAAAATGTTGCTCCTAAGTACTGTTGGTTTAGTCTTTTATCTCATCCCACCTCAGTCCCTTCTCTCCTTTAATGACTGTAATGCCACCACCTGCTTACTCTGCTGCTCCTCGTGTGTCTTCTCCCACACCCTGGAGCTCCTGTGCTCCTTGCTCCCCCATTGCGTATCAGCCCATCGCCTCTAAAACAAGCTGTTCCCTGACAGTTATCCTGACAGCCCATTTTGAGAGGTAGCAGTCCAAGCCACTCAAATTCCAACCATGTCATTCCCCAGTTCCTCCTCATCTCTCTAATCTTCTTCTGCAACACTCCAGTTCCACCTGATGTTCTCTGAACACAGGACCTTCAGCTTTCCTCACACATCCCCAGAATCCCAGCACAGACCCTCAATTCTCTCCCACACCTGCGGCTGACCTGGGAACCACATCTGCTCTGACTCCTTCTGTGGTACATGTATTGACTGCCCGACTGGTGCCTGCTGGCTGCCAAGCCAAATTAATGACCTACCTATGGAGTTAACACTGCAGCTTTTACCTGCTGGAGGACACTGCTATGAGACAATCTCCTATTCAGCAGCTAATTCTTATGAATAACGTAGAAACTTAATATTTGAGACCTCTCTGACCCATCTGTTTTGGCCACAATCACTGTGCAGATCCAAAAGTTAGCAGCAGTTGAGAAATGGACTGCTTAAGCCTCATTTCCTTAGGAAACCAGGCTACAAATACAGAGTCAACCCACTCCCCACCCATTTCCATCTTTAAAAGCTCCTTTGAATGAGCTATGTACCCTGGAAAGCCTTGGCTTTTTTACCCTCTGTACAAAAGCAGAAGCAGACATCCCGATCAGCAAACCTCCCAGAGTTTGATGTAGTAGTTGCTTTGTTTAAAGCTACAGAGATGTGTTCCTACAGTCTGGGCTAAAACAAAAACATAACCTTGGGGTATAGGGAAAGGCAAGGAAGTAGTGACATTCATCAGTGAATTAGGAAAAAGCTCACTTGCAGCACTAAACAAATAACCACAACAGTCTAACAATTCTTACGCTGCTCTATGCTGGAGGTCTACATCAATTACAATCGCCCTGAAAAAGGACAAAACAGCAGCTGTAAAGAAATCACTGAAGAGTCAACTAATTGTGCAACAGGAGGCAAAAATCTAAGTAAAAGGTTAGTCTGCCTTTTAGGCAGAATAGGATAAGGATTAATGCTGAAAATCTTATAATCCTATTAGGTACATCAGCAGCAGCAATCCCCAATCTGGACTGTTACGTGTGCTTCTGGTCATTCTTTGTCTGAAGGGAGATGGCGGAGGCAGAAGGGGAGAGGAGAAGGGCAACGGAAGTGTGTGGAAGCGCACGGGGGAAGATCCATAAGAGCGACTATAAATGCTGCGATTGTTTCTTTTGCAGCAAATACAAATAACTGAGGTTATTTGCTCCTACTCCTCATGCAGTGTAAGGGGATGTTCAACCAAATCAAGAGAATGAAGTCAAAAAGGAGGGGAGAAACGCTCGCTATCACCAAGAGTTAATCTGTGGAGCTGACTAACTGTATTTATTTATATAATTACATTACTTAAGATTTGGGGTTTGGTTTTGGTTTTCATTATTCAAGTTTACCACAATATAAGACAGGAAAGGATGAAGCTTCCCATATTGTGGGGTTTCCTGATTATCAGGGGAATATTAAAGCAACTGAACTGTTGGCTCCTCTTTAGCAATCTCTGTCATATTCCAGGGGAGCAGCTGCACCATCACCAAATCTCCTTCTGTCTCCACTTACCAGTAGAGCCACAGCCAGCCCTGGCTATTATATCCTTCTATTCCTTCTCCAGATCTGCTGGCACAATGATCTGACCATCACAGAGCACAGGCTAACCCAGATGTGACAATATTCCTAATAGCATCCAGGTTATAGCCTGGGGATAAGCATCAGAGCTGCTACCAGGACCTTGGAGGGCCCCACATGACATCTTCAGTTCTGATGACTTGGTGATGCTGTTTTCCTCATTAGCGGCCTGATCCTACAGCCATTTACCTGTACAATTAACTCTCCCGTTCCATACAGCAGCCACTGAAATAAACGGAAAGACTCCTAGAAATTCTCTGGAATTGTATTACCAGGACTGGTAATACAGACTGGCCAGGATTGTATTACCTCCAGAAATACCTGCTTATCCATTCTGTTGAGTATTTTTAACCATACAGGTATTTTCTGGATGGTAAACTACTGTTACAAGTATACCAGCACAGTGCCATCCACATCCCAAATCATCCAAGTTTTGCTCATCTAGTTACCATGCCACCAGCAGTGTTTGGGCTGCCCAAACATTTAGAACATTTTACTACTACAACACAAATAGAACAGCCCTTATTTTGCCCATAAATAACTAATGTTTCCATATCATTGGCACACAGCAGCCAAGATGGCAAACTTCTGCTCAAACACAGGGATGGACACATTTAGGAGTCACTGAAATATTTCCTATTTCCTCAACATGTTCACTGGCTAGTACGTGCTTCTTGCGCACAGAGCAGCAGCTGAGCTGTCATCATGCCAGCATTCCTTGCTGAAACTGCTGAGCAGGGTGCCAATAGGTTTGCATTCCTTATTATCAGTCCTAATTAACGTTCACACAGTGCCACAAATTAAAAATAAATGGCACTCTTTGCACCAAAGGTTCACAGTTTAAATCCAACAGCTGGGGATGTGAAAATGAGCAGTGCACAAGGTCAGGGAAAGGGTTAATGCAAGCCCCTTGACAGGCCAAATGCCTGATATCCAAGAAGGGACTGGGGTGGAGGACACACCAGCTGCAGAGGAGGCTCTGGGCTGATACTCCCTGGGAGATGGCTCCTGCAGATTCTTTGTGGTCATTTTGTAGCCGAATATGTCCTGCATGGTGGCTCCAGGGCAGTCGGGAACTTCCCTGTTCACCCTCAGGGTGACAGCTGACGCCATCTCCACCCTGGGCCTCAGGAGACGTGGACACCCGGTCATGCCAGCCTGACACCCCGATACACTCCAAGAATACCAAAGGTGCACGGTGCCTCAGTGACAATAACATCCCCCAAGGAAAGCCACTTCAAACTCCATTTGCAACTCGAATCAAACATCCTCATGGAATCGGTTAAGTGCTGCCGAGGACAACCGTGCGGCTGTGCCCATGTCCTTCGACCAGTTGTGCACCACCTCCACAGGTATGAACAAGGTGTAAAGCGCCACTTGAACAGTCACCCAGCACGTCCCTTTGCTTTAGGAAACATTCCTCCCCACCTCCTCGGTGACCTACTTAGCTCTTCTGAGCTGCTGAGACCTTGTCCTCATGAGCACTTCTGAGGCACCATGCACATCCACAGCACCAAGGAAACAGAGGGCAGGCCCAGGAGAACTCAGTGTCTAACACGAAGACACTCCGCTTTCCGTCCAGATCCACCTCTGACTTCTCGGTCAGGCTACTACAGAAGCAAACTGCAAACTTCGTCTTGGTTAACGTAACCTAACAGCTGGCGAAACGTAATCACTCCTCTTGGTGTAACCGCGGGGTAAAGGGACGCCTGACTGTCATTCCAGCAGAAATAGCAGGAACAAGGACTGTCCTTGATGCTTCTAATTTAAGCAGTCTTGATCTTCCCAAAGCCAGCACATACTCCTCTCCAGTTGACACCACCTTTTTTTTTCCCCCCTCAGTGAGGGCGCTCCTCACATGGGAGCTGGAAGATGGCCAGGCACAAACAGGTGAAGAGACGTGGCGAGAGGGACGGGTGGAGGAAGTGGCCTTGGCCAGCCTGGAGCTATCACACAACTACTATGTTTACTCACGTTGAGATCCTACATCCAGACTTGCCTAAAGAAGGTAAACGCGATTTCCTTTTCCCCACTTCTTGTTACAGGCAGAAGACAGAAATGCTAAAATAACAACACTACTGAAGGAGAGACCTTGTAAAATATTGGGATTGTTAAGATAACGCAGGTGATGAGTACCAAAACCTAACATTCCTACTAAAACTACCAGCAATGAAGGGTCTCACAGGGTGGATATTTACACTGACACCCTTGTGTAAGTCCAACCAAGATTAAGCAGGTACTTCACCCTTCCCAGGGTTATTGTTCCAGACTGTCTTCAAACTCAGGCCAAATTGCATCAGTTTACACACAAGCTAACGCTTCAATGTTTTCCTTACAGTCCTTCAGAACAGAAAAGGCCTGTGTAGGGAGTATAAAAATACCCCACAGCTCTGCAGCTATTTTAGGAAGCAAATTCATTGCAGGTAGATGGCTTACTAAGCTCGTCTGGCTCTACTTCACACTGCCTTCAGTGGAGCTCCCTGGCCCAGTGGAGGTGGGCTGCTGATGAGCAAGGGGAATTTGTTTGTCCCTGAGGCAACGTTTTAAAGGAAAGATCTGCATGGGGAGTGTGTAGGGTTAGTGTGGGGCCCCGACCCATGGGTGAGAAGCTGTGGGTCGATAAGAACCCTGTGCCTGGCATACGCCACCAAGCTCTGAGCAGCTGCCTGTAAGAGATAATGTTTCGTGGGCCTCACTGGAGGCATTTGCCCTGTTGCTGCTCCTCCCCTCTCCATGCTTGGGCTCAGCAGGACAGCAGGAGAAAACAGTTCACGGCACTGAGCTTTCTTCCAGCGCTGGCACAGCCCACTGATTCATTCAGACCCTTTCGGGGGAGAAGAAATAAATCAGCAAAGTGTGACACTGAGGGGAATAAAATCTGTGCCTTTTAGAGAAGAAAACATTTTCTGCTATGTGACCGGGTCAGACCTTCACCCAGCTTCACTGCTCCAAAAAGGCCCCTGATGTTTTCCCTATCCAGTACAGAACGTATAGTTCCTGTTTTGAGAGTCCTGTCTTCTTCCAAGCCAAATAAATGCCAATTTGAAAACTAAATGGCATGTTTTAGATGGGAAGGGCTGCTTTTCCTGACTCTGGAGAGGGGGATGTTTATGTGGAAAAAGGCTTTTTTAGAATCACTGACATTATATTTCAGAGATGACAGATGGTCTAAAATCTGTATTGTGAGTTAGCCTACAGATTTATGCTAGGCTTATGATACAAAAAGGAACAGAAAAAGACATATAATCTAACCAAACTAATGTCTAGGCTAAAAAAAAGGTATAAAATATGGATTCCATATCAACAAAGCAGCTCTGCATTATTTTCATACAAAACCACAAAGATCATGCTGCAAGTATTATTTTGGAGTTATTTTAACTGATGCTATGTGAATCAGCTTTTAGGAAGTGTAAACACGTACAGAAATCCCAATTTAGAGCATAGTCCTACATTCTCTGTATCCGAAAACTCAGTTCATGTTATGGAAGACTTTTACCATCAAACCGTAAGTGCTACCACTGACTGAGGAGGTGGTGAGAAACACAAAAGCTCCTGTTTGTCTATTCGTCACTGAAAGTCAGCTTTAGACTTCTAGTGTTGTACTCATGAGACAGGAATAAAAAAATTAAATCAAACTATAACTCGTCCAAATCTATTGCAACATGATCTCCTTAGAGTAACATTACTTCGGCTTCCCAGGAACAGAATATTACTAGAAGTGCTTAACTAATTGCAAGGAATATTTTAGCTTACCAATGTAATTTAAAAATCAAACCAAAAGACCTCTTTGGCCCAAATGTTCAGCTAAAGCCATGAAAAATGTTGACTTCTCACAGGTTTCCAATGGTTCAATCCACTGAAACAAATCGAGCAGTCCCAAGGCTGCTCTGAGTAGCACCGGGTCACAGAGATCCCCATAAGCTCTTAGAGGAGGACAGAAACCCCGGTTAGATCTCTGCACCAGCCAGGGAGAGCAGTTTGGTATAGGAACAGGTATCAGGCACGGTCATGGCCAGCTTGGTGCAAAACAGCCTGAGGAGAAAATCTTACTGGACATTTCTATAAATATGTTAGTAAATTAACAATAAACAGCATCACTCCTTCCATCAGTAACTGATCTTAACTTCTAACATCTCTGAGGACCCTAGAACATTAATCAGAAAAACTAGAAGGCCAAAGATTTGGAGGGACCAGCCACATTGAAAACATGTGGGATCCAACTCAGTCATAAGCTCTATGTTCCAGAGCTGGTATCTAACTCCTAGTTAAGTAAACAAACAAACAAAACCACACCCACCTTTAAAACATCTCATTTTGCTAACACATTTCAAAGAAGGATTTCAAAGTGCAGTAGAAATATTAGCGACTTGAGTGTCAAAGCTGATTGCATTCCCACTGATTTCTCATTATTTCTATTTCATTACTGGTTTATGTCTATTTTAATGATAAGGACAGCGAGACCCAGTTGAAATTATACAGGAAGCTCATGTCAGAGACATGAACAGTACCCAGTTTTCAACTCCAGTTTTAAAGCAAGAGTGTAGCAAAACTAAGGCAAGATGATTCTACAGGTAATTTCAGAATATTCAGACCATCTTAATGCTTTCGTTAGTATGGGTATCAGAATGCCACATGCTATATATAACAGCTGCGACATTGCAGGGAGTTCACGGGCCATGCAAATCACATTTCTCTTTATGGTCCACAGACACAGATTGGTATTGCTTCTAGGTACTATAACAACATTTTAGGGAGGGGCTGGGCACCTGCTTTTTTACTAGGACCTGCATCATTTTTTTAAAAAAG